CCCCGGACGCTCATGTGGGAAGGCGTCGAGGTGCAAATAATGGTAGATCATCCTTTATTGTTACTAATTCGCTTCCCTCTACCTGTGCTCTATGCGGTGGATGGTCCCATATAATGTCTGCATGCCCCCGATTTCTATCAATGCCCCCTGAGATTCGCCTTGGTGAGGCCAGGCGACTCGGTCTTTGTCGGAAGTGTCTGCAAACGGGCCATCACATGCGTGAGTGCCTCGCTGCTAGTTGTCGCAGTTGTGGAAGGAGGCATCACAGCCTGCTGCATTTCCTGAAGCCGCCGGCATCTAGCGGCCAGCCTTTGGTTGGTCCTCCCACGTCAGCCATAGCCGAGGTCGCCGAGCCTGCAGCCTCTTCGCCGTCCACTGCTAATGCACTAGTTGCTCAAGGTCGCAGCGGCGATATATCGTTGCTTGCTACAGCGAACATTTTTGTTCGTAGTCGCGCTGGATCCCTTGTTCCATGCCGAGCTTTGTTGGATTCTGGATCTCAGGTGCACGTGATCACTTCCCGGCTGGCAAGTCATCTGCAGCTCCGGAGGTACAAGTCATTCATGGCGGTGTCTGGTATTGGAGATACCGGCTTTGCGACAGATGGATTCTCTGTTGATGTTCTCCTACGTTCCCACTGTTCCGAGTACTCGGCCCTGGTTAACGCCGTCATCGCCGCCAATATCACGGACCTGCAGCCTAGCTTCAGTTTGGATGTCTCCAGCTGGAATATTCCTGGCAATCTTTCTTTGGCTGATCCTGAATTTTTCCGCCCACAGCGCATCGACCTTCTTATCGGAGCCAGTCTGTTTTATGAGCTGTTGTGTGTTGGGCAAATTAAGCTCTCAGCCGGCCTGCCATTGCTGCAGAAAACTCAACTTGGATGGGTCGTGTGTGGAGGCGGTTCACATGTCCAGAGAAGATCACTCGTTTCCACTGCCCACAAGGATGTTCCGGAGAGCGCAACAATGCTGGATGATCAGCTGGATTCTCTGCTCCGCCGGTTTTGGGAAATCGAAGACTGCTCCGAGCCTATTGTGAAGCGGACGAAGGAAGAGCTAGATTGCGATGCGCATTTCGTGCAACATGTTGCTCGGATGGATTCCGGCGCTTACGCGGTGCGGCTTCCGTTAAAATGCGGATCTAAGCTGCTGGGAGAGTCGTACCCCCAAGCCGTTCGACGATTTCTTTCCCTCGAAAGGAAGCTCTGTCGCCGTCTTCAATTAAAGGAGCAATATGCTGCCTTCATAAAGGAGTATCTAGAGTTGGGTCACATGTCTCCAGTCCTTTCTGATGCGAGCGTCACTGGCCAATACTTTCTTCCACACCATTGTGTTTTAAAGGAGGACAGTTCAACAACCAAGCTCAGGGTTGTCTTTGATGGATCTGCTGTCACAACTTCTGGATATTCATTGAATGACGTGTTGATGTCTGGCCCAGTTATTCAGCCAAAGTTACTGCATATTCTGTTAAGGTTCCGATGCCATCGGGTGGCCATTACTGGAGATATTTGTAAAATGTATCGTTGCGTCAGGGTTTTTCCTGAGGACAGCTATCTTCAGTGTATTCTTTGGCGGGATTCCACCCAGGATGAGTTACAGGTTTTTAAGCTGGACACGGTCACCTACGGAACGAAGTCTGCCTCATTTTTAGCAGTTCGGACAATGCATCAGTTGGCAGATGATGAGCAAATAATGTTTCCAAAGGGGGCCGAAAATCTGCGTCGCGACTTTTATGTGGATGATCTGCTTTCCGGAGGCGACTCTATAGATGAAGCTATTAGCATAATGCAGCAAACATCCGCGATCCTTGCCAAAGGCCATTTTCGGTTAAGGAAGTGGTGCTCCAATGTTGCTGACGTTCTGGATAAGGTGCCTGAAGAAGATCGGGAGTCTTTCCTAAAGTTTGATGATGGTAGCAACTTCACAAAGACACTGGGTCTTGCTTGGGATCCTGCAACTGACCGCTTGCTATTTTCTTTTGAAGGGATTCAGTCAATCTCAAAGCCCACTAGGCGCATTGTGCTTTCTTCAGTCGCTCGGCTTTATGACCCCTTAGGCCTTGTTGGTCCTGTAATTTCAAAGGCAAAGATTTTTCTTCAGAAGCTGTGCCGTGAGAAGTTGTCCTGGGATGAAAGTCTTCCTCAAGCTCTTCACTGCGACTGGAATATGATTTGTAGCAGCTTTGGTAGTACGCAGCGCGCCGAATTCCCTAGATGGGTGCTGACATCGAAATCCGAGGTGGAGGTCCATGGATTCTGTGATGCCAGCATTGAGGCGTATGGGGCATGCGTTTATGTCGTGTCCAAGGGCGCAGGATCTGCAAGCTATTTACTCTGTTCGAAGTCCCGAGTTGCGCCGTTAAAGACTGTTACGGTGCCTAAGCTGGAGTTATCGGGAGCCGAGTTGTTGGCTCGACTTATGTCGGAAGTAGAGCAGTTGAAGGTCTACGTTGGAAAGTATTTTTGCTGGTGCGATTCTGCTGTGGCTCTATCTTGGATTCGAGAAGAACCCTCTCGGTTTAATGTTTTCGTCGCCAATCGAGTTTCGACCATTCAGAAGCTAACTAGAGAAATGGAGTGGCGGTATGTTCCCACTTCTTTGAACCCAGCAGATATCCTGTCGCGTGGTGCTCTTCCCAATGAATTGGTTGAGAATAAGCTGTGGTCTCATGGTCCTCCGTTTCTCGTTGGATCCCAAGAGACGTGGCCAACCGCGGTCCCATCTGAGAGATCAACCCTGGAGTTACGTGCAAGGGTCCTGCTCATTCAGTCTCCGTACGTGGATATAACAGCGGTTTCTAAGTACGCTAATTCGTTTCCAGCACTGCAGAGGGTATTCGCTTACGTATACAAGTTTTCTCAACGAATTCACCACAACGGTGTTACGGCTAGCGATATAAAATCTGGAACACAGCTGTTATTGCGGCTAGTGCAACGTGTGCATTTTTGGGAGGAAATCAAGGCTCTTCAAAATGGAAAAGACATAGCGGTATCCAGTGCCCTTGCCTCAACCTCTCCCTTCTTGGACAAATTTGGACTGTTGCGCGTAGACGGTCGGCTAAAAAATTCGTCGTTGGATTTTGATAAACAGCATCCAATTATACTTCCAAGAAGCCATCCAGTTACGCGGGCTATAATTGTTGACTTCCATGAGCGAAATTTACATACGGGACCTCGCGCACTGTTGGCAATTATTCGGTCCCAATATTGGCCAATTGGGGGGAGAAAAACCGTGACGAAGATTTTTGTGGACCGTTCTATTATAAGCCGGAAGTGCGTAATAAGGCTCCAGTAAAATGTTACATTAGCATGTTCATTTGTTTTGCTACCAAAGCCGTCCATCTGGAGCTTGTAAGGGATCTGTCCACAATGTCTTTTTGCAGGCTTTGAAGCGTTTTATATGCACCCGCCGAAGTCCTCAACATATTTGGTCTGACAACGCAACCAACTTTGTTGGAGCCAAAAACGAGCTAAAGGAGCTGCGCCGATTATTTCTAAGCGAAGAGCATCAACGGTCACTGCTGGAGTTTTGCTCTATGGAGTCCATCGAATGGCATTTTATTCCTCCTCGATCTCCGCATTTCGGTGGTCTGTGGGAAGCGGCTGTTAAAACCGCCAAGCACCATTTTTACCGAGCTGTCGGATCTGCAGTTCTGGGATTCGAGGAGCTGCGAACGCTGCTGTGCCATATTGGGGCTGTTATAAATTCACGACCCTTATTGTCTCTTTCAGAAAATCCTGCAGACCTTGATGTTCTGACCCCGGCTCATTTTTTAACTGGTGGTCCGTCAGTCAGCTTTATCGAGCCTGATGTCACAAAGCTGAACTTCAACCGGTTGGACAGCTGGCAGCGCGTGTCTTTCCTGCAGCAGTCTTTCTGGTCCCGATGGAAGGAGGAGTACCTAAGTCTTCTCCAGCAGCGCTCCAAATGGCGCGCCTCCGGTCCTGCCTTGGCCCCAAACGATGTGGTGCTAGTAAAGGACGAGAATCTACCTCCGATGAAATGGCCGCTTGCGAGAATAATGGAGTTAATCCCTGGTCGGGATGGTATCTTTCGAGTGGCGGTGATAAAAACCTCATCTGGAATTACCAAGCGAGCAGTGACTAAGCTGTGCCTTTTGCCCCTTAAGGATGAAGTTGGAGTAGAAGCCCCAACTGGGGGGAGAATGTCGGGTCAAGCAGCAAGCAACTAATTTAAACACAACAATTAATAAGTAACTGATGTTTTGCTGGTCGCAAGCCGACTCTCTTTCGGCCGCTCGGCTTTGCTACTTCGGCGCTTATGGTTAGCGAGCATTCGCTCAGCCTATTCTGCAAGGTTGGCGCCACTCTCGTTCGTACTTTTACTGCGCTCGCATCCTAAATTGGATTTCAAATATTGTACATAAATCCTAATTTCATATGCGGCCTGAATAAAGTTTATAACGTTGAAATTAATTAAATTCTGATTTTTTATTTACGGCATCGAAAACTCTCGATGACCAAACAGTAACCTTTCCTTTTAACAAAACTTTTGAGGATCATCTAAACTGGTAGCGAAATAGCCATTATAACCGATAACAATACGCTTTTAAAAGCTTGTTTGACTGGGATGATTACACAGATATTTCCATCTGCTCTTGTGATACTGCAATTTACGGCTGCCTGCTCTTCAATTGCAGTTAATAAAACCATTGAATCAAATTAAAGCATGGAATCCTCAAGGCCTTTTGTTGCTCCGTATTCTGTCAACAATCTGAGCTAGTTGAGCAATAAGCTTTTTCTGAGTTTTTCGGAATCAAAACAATTTATCTTATATCTCCCATAAAACGTATTACATTAAAATTTGATTCCTTTTTGTAAGATAACTTTTGCTTTTCCCGAAGTAAAAAATGTTTCTTCTCTTTATTTATTTTATTTTATTTTCAAAACATTTTTTTTTAATTTAATAAATATGTATTTTTTTTTTAAGCTATTTGTAATCGAATTTTCTTAATGAATTCTCAACAGTGCCTACCGTATGTCGCCAACTGAGTTCTCCAACTATATCAAGCAACGCGCAATGCAGCAACAGATGCACCATGGACACGGCAATGTTTCGTCCACACCTTTGCTCCCACCAATAGGGTTGGACGTGATGACCCCGATTCGGTCGTTATCTCCCAATCAAAATGCACTACAAAGTAACCAACATGGCGGGACGGTCAGTAATTTCCCGGACCCTTTTTACTATTCAAATATGGGAATCTTCTACCCGCAGTTAAGAGGCCAGCAAAACTTTTTTGAGTCAAATTTTAGTACAGATTCAAACGCCGGAGTGTTCGCTAATGGCGCTACCGGCTTAGCTAGTAAATATTTAGAGCCCTGTTATTTATATAATGGCTATTCTGAATCAGCATCAGCTTTGGGGAAGCTTGCACAGCTTCAACCTGTCGTAATGAACAAACCAAGCATTGATGAAAATGGCTTTGGATTAGAATTAGACTGTGAATTAGCCGATGTTGCCGTTTTCGATGAAGCTAACGCAACTAACACCGTCAGTACCTCCGCAGTTGTGACCTCGGCTGTCTCAGCAGCAGCAGCAGCGGCTGCCGTCATCATTTCTATTGCGGGTGAAAAGTCCCACGAAAACAAACCAAATGAACCTCTCACTGTGGGGGTGGTTCCCAGCCTATCGGCAACGGCTGCTGCTGCTGCAGTTACGGCTGCCAAATATTCCAGTGATCAGCTTCAACAAACTCATGGATCATCTTCTGTCACCAATAGCAAATTGATCAATGGCATAAGTTCCTTCTATAGCACTGGATCATCATATCAACAACTACTTTTGGCTAACTGAATTTTCTTTTGTGGAAAAAAAAACAAAACATATCAGCTATGAATCGTAAGACATATTGCTATGCACCTTTAAATTGTTCATTATTTTTCAAATAGTAGCAGAATGTTTTAAGTTGCAAAATTTAGTGACTGACCACAAAGGAAGGATTGGAAGTCTTATGTGAAAAAGAACAATTCAAGGCCATCGTTAAAAAAATGCTGCACTTTTTGGTATAGCTTCTAGTGAAATTGATCCATTTTAAGGATTGGGAAAACATGCATTTATATTCCCAACAAAAAAACACGATACGATGTGTTCACATATACCCCAAACCACATATACCACATATACTTTTAATCTCCGCAATGTATCAAATGCTGACCTAATCTGGCGCAGCTGTATGCATTATGCATACTGCATATCTGTATGTATATTCAAAGGCATGTTTATGTTAATAGGACTAAAAACCGTTAGTTAACACTGTGTTAGGGCCTATAAATATAGATATGCAGGTGTTGTATATACAGATATCATCTGAAATAAATATTATTTTGTTGTTAAATTCATTTATATTGGCATGATGTTTTTTTGGTGCCAGGAATAATGCGAAGAATACTTTAAATATTTATATAATTTTGTAATACTTGTAACACTGTAACATATTCCCCAGATTCTCCTCCATCCCCAGCTTCTAATTCTCTGGCTTTAGCTCCACTACTACTGCACCTCCTCCTATTGAATCTCAACCTCTGACTCTTTATTCCCCACAACTCCCCCTCCGACTTCTACAGCTACTACGGCCGGTTCGGGTCGAATTTCCAATTCTGACAATCTTTCTTTGCCATTAAAATAGCACGTGCGTTTCACCTGGAGAGATAATAGATTGAGTCGGAAAAAATTATACTAATATTTAAAACCAAAATTTGTATAATATATATATATTTTTTTATTATTCTATTTTACTATTATATGCTAATCAAAACCAATGCTAGTTATATTATTTTTATCAAATCACAAGCAACCCTGTCGGAACGGTGTCCGACTCTCAGCCCTAACGTATATGTACACAAAATTTCACGAAAATCGGTAGACTTACAAAAAAAATTAACTTTTATTCAAAGTTGCAATTACGAACACATGATTCCTTTTGTAAGTCTAAATTCCGACTCTCCCATGCTTGAGTTCTTAACTTACCGTCTCGCCTAAATCCGAGCGAGAGAGCGCGTTCTTGATCCCCTTCGCTACCATCGATGCCTCTGCAGCCAAGGAGTGCAGAAACTAGCACTGCAGTAGCACTATAACACGTAACAACAACAACCGCAATTGAATCAACAGCAGGTTTAAAGTCATCATCAGCTAGCAGCGCAAATATTAATACGTCTGCCGCTGCGCTGCCCGAAAAACAGAATAAAACAACAGAACAATAAAACAAGAAAGAAAAGCTAACTTTGGGCGGAACCGAAGTTTATATACCCATGCAGTTAAAACCGGATATATATTTACATGAGTCGTTCTTTGCCCGAATAAAAAAATCAGGAGATTTATTTTATATCCGTTTTATATCCGTTTTTCTTTATTAGAGCGTTGGAAAAAAACTAATTGTATGTGACAGAATTGGTAAGAATGGAACCTTAGTTTGCGTCTTAGAATTTACTGTTAGCGCATTAGGTGACGCAATAGAAGTGGATGATGCGATCGCCACTTCTTTGTTTATGTTTACATAATTCGGTCTTATTCGATTTTGCGATCTTATTGGATTTTTACGTTTATGGAATTATGACATTGTTAACTTTCGGACATAATAAATTTTCTTCGTTTGCTTGCATTGCGGGATCTTGAGCTTCTGTATCGTTTTTAATCAAAGCCGAATTGGCGATTCTGTTTATTTGTGAACGGTTTCGTTCTTTGAACTGGTGGCCGTTGAGAAATCGCAGTGCAGACACGTCACTCCCCCATCACTGAGACAAAATCGTATGGTTATTTATGTGATTTTGGGTATAGTTTTGGTATTTCTTGTAACTCTTGTGAGTCTATTGTTGGGTCGTAACCTTTTGTGTTATTGTTTTTTATAAGTATTTTTTTAGATTTTTCTTTAAATTTATAAAGTAGGTAAAGTGATATACTTAATATTAAGAGACCCAGTGTTACAATTACAATTTTTTTGTAAATCTGGTTTTCTTTATTTTGTTCAAAAAATATTTCTTTTGCTTGTATGTATGATATTGGGTCTAATTTGGTGACATTATTTCTTGTGTATATGCTTTGTGTGTAGTCAGAATTATAATTACTAATGGATAAATTTCAATTACATTCTTAATACAATTTTGATGTAGTACAGTTTTCGACAAATTCCATATAACTATTATATTTGGTTCGACATAATTAATTTGGGTTGTTAAGAGCGTTTTTGTGTACCTGCAACTAATATCTGTTTGATTAATGAGGCCTAAAAGACATGTGTTGGTAATAGATTTTTTTTTGTATCTTTGTTATGCAAACTATTTCTGTATACGTAATATTTTTTTTGGGTGTTATCTTGCGATATTTTATTATTTTCATCTGGATAAGGCAATATTTCGTATACTCTTTATTTCTCTGGGTATGATATGTGGGATATGATTAAAATTTCGTTTGAATCTGACCTAAACCAAGTTGAGGTTTTTATGTTCAGAAGTATCTCAGAAATAATGTTTGTCAAGTAGTCGTGTTTTAATAACTATGGATTGAATATTCCTTATCTTGCTAACTTCATTCCCATTTCCAGGTCTGCGAATGTATTCTGCGAAATGTTCTAAATTAAAACTCAATAATTCAAGAATTTTTTCGTTTTCGTTGTATTCGAGTTGCTTGTTTATTATATCGATGCCTTTGTTAACTGTATCGATTATATTATATAGTTCGTTTACCTGTACACTTTTTTGAGCTATTACATTCTTTTTTTTTCTAATTCTTCTTTATCATTATTATCCAATGTTCCAAAAAGATATTTGTAAGCTTTTCCTACAAAATTAGCTAATCCTCTTTTGTTTCTCTTAAAAATTTTTAACCCATTAATTTCTCTTTGTAGTTTTTCAATTAAATATTTAATCTGTATTATTTCCTTAAAGCCAAACGCTTGTGATGGCAAATTTTTGTAAGTTTCTTCCGTTTTTGTAATATTAATTGTGAGACAATGGTATTCAAAACTATCTGGGATGTTGATTGTGTCGGTCATAAATAACAAATAGTCTTTGTATGATTTTATTGGGTTAATTTCTATAAATTGGTTGTTACCTATTGGCATTGTGGGAGCCGGCAATGAGCGGCGATGTCATGCAGGAGAGCGGCGAGAATGGCAAGGAGAGCGCGAGCGGAGTGACAGGGCAGGGGGAGAGTTAGTTGTAGTTGACCGAGCGGGCGGAGCAGACGCGACACGATTATTACTTAAATAAATCAAGTGTTCTATAATCTGAATTGGAAATAACCTGTCCTTATTGAGGGGGAACTTACGGGTTACTACATTGGCGACGAGGTAACACTGTTTTCAAAAAGATATACAAGAAATAGCAATAATTAATCTCATTTAAACGTACATGCGCATGTATGTATGTAAAACGAAAAACTGCGTATGGCAGTGCCATCCCAAAAAAAAAAAAGGGGGAACGGAAAGAAGAACCATAATGTATAACATAAATGAGATTAGTAATTATTATACTTGTAAAGTTCAGCGCAAAACCAAATTACGAAACATAAGTAAAAAGAAAAAAAAAACAATAAAGAGAGGCTGAGTTTCAAACAAGCCAGATAACTTAAGAGAAATTTACTCTGGAAAAAAAAGGGCTGAGTGAAAGATTTACGTTTTTGCAAGCCGCATGTGTATGCATGTGTAACTATGTATGTATGTACGCAGGTGAAAACGTGCATAGGAAAGGCTGTGCGGAAGAGTTTTGTTTTCCGTAAGCTGTATAATAAATCGACTGCGTGTAAATACAAGTCGAAAGAGGCTGCGTGTAAACAAGCCCAAAAGAACCATTTTTAGTAAAGGCTGTGCGGAAGAGTTTGGTCTTGCGTAAGCTAGATAACTATAAAAAAAAAGAGAGGCTGCGTAAAAACAAGCCCAGAATTTCAAGTCTAAAATGAAATTTTGTTTCGTTGTCTAAAATCTAGCAAACACAAACGCACGACGTCAGGATGGCGGAAAATTATTTAAAACCATTCCTATGTGAAGCAATTGAGAAATCGGTCCTTCGAAATGAATGGGAGAAATGGTTTAGAGCGTTCACTATCTCGATGGAAGCTGAACAGATCGTGTCACCCAGAATGAAGAGAACTAAACTCCTTCACGTAGGTGGGGTACAATTGCAAGCTGTCGCGTTCTCGCTACCGGGTGCACTGGTAGAGGATGACAAGGACGTCTTCACTGTTTTGGTCGAGAAATTAAATGCCTACTTTTCGCCGAAACAAAATTCAACGTTTGAAAGGCATCTATTTCGAAGTATATCACCACATGAGTCAGAGAATTTCTCAAAGTTTATTTTACGACTAAGACAACAAATGTATAAATGTTCTTTCGGCCAATCTAAAGTGGAGATTGAGGAAATCTGCCTAAAAGACAAAATAATTGATTCGCTGGAGCTAAAGAAGAATCTCTTGGGTAAGGAATACTCCTTGGACGAAGTTATTGAAGCGTGCCAGGTCGAGGAACAATTAAGCAAACAATCTGAAGCCATGCTGACGAAACCTACCACTAGCGATTCAATCAATAAAATTACTGCTCGGAAAATAAGGCCAAATCTGGAGTGTTCGAGATGTGGTCGAATGGGGCATGCAAATAGCGATTTCTCCTGTCCGGCCCGAGCAGCTAAATGTAACAAATGTTCCAAGATAGGTCATTTTGCACGACAATGCAGAACAACACAATATGCTCAGCCGAAACACGAAAATAGGAAGCGCCGCCGAAATGATATTCGTTGTGTGGAAGATGAGAGCGCTGATCCCAAACGGAAGAAGGAATTGTACTCTTTCGGTACAAGCGGCTGATGTTCGGAATTAACTCTGCTCCAGAAATTTTCCAACGTCACCTCGAGCAGCTATTAGCACCCTTAATAATCTTTGGAGCTAGCGAAGAAGAACATGACAAGACTGTAAGAGAGGTTTGTAACACATTTAAAGAAAGCGGCGTTTTACTAAACGATCAGAAGTGCATCTGGAAAACAAACAAACTCAAGTTCCTTGGTCATATTATTTCTGACGAGGGAATCGAAGTGGACCCGGATAAAATTAATGTGATTAGAATGTTTCGAGAACCACTTAACAAGGAAGAGACTCGGAGTATCCTAGGTTTGGTGACATACGTGGGAAAATTTATCCCAGACCTGGCAGATTACACGGATCCGCTGAGAAAATTACTGAGGAAGGACTCGAAATTCAGCTGGGGCGAAACAGAAAGAGATGCTTTTCGGAACTTAAAGG